ATTCGAACCTGCCACCTTAGGTGTATGTGGCTGGCGCCTTAGCTGCTTGAGCCACAGGCGCCGAGCCTGAAATCAATTTCTTAATATAGCTACAACCAAGAAATAACTAAAATTTAAAACACTGTTTTCAGTTCCATTTCCACATTAAAATTAAAAAGACACATTTCCCCATTTCTCTCAACAAATACAACTAAAAAGCTCGGATATTACATTAAAGATTATATTAACACAAATACAGAAAGCTTCTGGAAGGTACAGAGAAGGCAGACCAACTGGGGACCTGGAACCCAAGAAGTGACACAGCAGTGAGTTCTGTGAGTTTTCTATTAGTCTCACATATTCCAAATGGGGTAATGAAATCATCAGCAACCAGGAAATACCAAAGGGCACCAAAAAAGCCCCAAGAAAAGCCACTCCTCTCTAGCCAAAGGACTATGAAAAGAACAACCTAGCAAGACAATAGACTTTTAGACTTTAAATGACCTACATCAGCCAAATACTATGGAGAAAAATATGGCCCAACCTCTGAAACTTTTAATCAATAGTAGTACACATAGTCAAATAAGTGGTATTCTGTTAAAGAGTCCTAGGATAGGCCTATTAAACAATTTTCTCATATGGCACTGAAAAGATACATTAGTCATGAGCAAAGTGAAATTTTATTTATTCCTTTTATAACCACCCAGAGGCCTCCCCTGCTCACATGGTGTCAGTAAGGACACCCATAGAACAGAAATAATAAGATGCCTCCCACCCTCCTGTCAGGGTTCTATCAGCTAAGTCCTATGTGAGCCCTGAGACTCCACCTTCTCTCAGTAGTCAGGAGGTATCCCCTTCTGCCCAAGATGTTTAAGGGGGCTGACTGAGAAATTGGTAATTTTACCTGCACCTGATGTTACCAGTGTTATCTGTCTTTCCCCAACCTCTCTCCAGTATCAGTTGTGGCCTGCTAAAATACAATATTTAAATACTCACCAAAATGTGCAGGATGTAATTAAAAATCCCAAATTTGAATAAGAAAATACCATGAATAGGTAGCAATATTGAGATGACACCAAAGTCAGAATTATGTAACATGGATTTTAAAGCAACCATGATGATTAACACTTCAGCAAGCAATTATGAACACGCTTGAAACAAACAGAATACAGGGTTTTCAGTAAGAAAAAGAAGATATGAAGAAGACAAATGGAAATTTTAGAACTCAAAAATACAATAACCAAATGAAAACAAAGAATTGGCTCATCAGTCCAAAGGAACAGAGAAAAGAAATGCTGTCCTCAGAGATAGTAAAGTAACATTAGTGGACAGAGTATGCTTGCTTCAAGTAAAATCTGGCCATAAGACTTCCTAGTAAATTTTTCTACAATTTATTTTACCAAGGTGATAAAATATTCTGTAAGTTGATTTACTCTTTTATCCAATTGCTATAAAGAGAGAGAGAGGCCTATTGGTACTAAAGCAAAGTCATCTGAAAAAATATTTTCTTTGGAACTACTATTTCCTATAAAAGGAAGATCTTTTTGAATTGAGTATTAGCTTTGAAGACTGAAGTCATCACTCTTAGATTTTCACTAGTAATAATAAAGCAATAAAACAACAATGATCATGCCAGTGGGTATTTATATTGATCTTTACTGTGAAAAACTGAAAGCTCTGTTACATCAGGTTAGTTTCTCGGGTATGTTACTGCTCCCATTTATAGACAGAAAATTGAATTTACAAAGATACATGTCTCATTAAAGAGCCCAGGATAAGTCATTCAATGGAAACAGAAGAAAACCCAAAGGTCTCTTGGTATTCAGTACAGTGGTTTTTAATAAGTGCCATAATCCCAAGTGTGGCTATACAAAATGTAATTAGCCCTTGGGAAGCAGAGTGCATGAGATTAATTCATTTATTCCCTTAGTCATTCATTCATTCAACAGTATTAATTGAGCACACACTATATGCCAGGAACTACACTCTAGTAGGGAGAAAACAACAGGTGAAGAGCATGGTCAAGGATAGCCTTCATAAGAAGATAACATTTGAGCAGCTATTAGGAGGCAACTAGGGTTCGGTGAGAGTTTTTCAAAGTAAGAATTTTCAAAAAGTAAATATATGATTCACATTAATATAAACTGAACATATATCAAAGATTTATCCTACTCCCTTATTAATAAATTATTTATGTTAAGACTAAATGAATCAGATATTATGACTTGTTCGAAAAACATACAAAAAGGTAATACCTATATAAGAAATTTAACAATAAAATATTAAACTAGGAAAGAGGGCTAGATTTGAAACAAAATTTGTTATGTCCTACAGGGCAATAAACTATATTCTTTGAAATTATCTTTTATAACAGAAAAAAATCTATGAATTAACATGTAACTTCACTATAGTTGAGACTTTTAGTCAATAGTAAATGAGTCAAAAAAATACATTCTCCTGACTAGTCCTGGGGTGAGCCTATTAAGCAATGTACCCATGAGACACTGAAAAGACATACTACCCACCTTTTCTCTTATCTTCAATTGTTGTGCTTAACAACAACAACAACAACAACAACAAAAAACAGAGTTATACCTGAAGGAACAGCATTCCAGGCAGAGAGAATCTGAGTGAATTATAGACCATCTACCTCTGATAGGCAAAGAATGCTCTCCCTCACTAATTTGTAAAGTTTGATATAAATAAATAAATAAATTCCTAGTGGCAAACTAGAGAAGCTAGAAAATTTACCTTGGAAAGAAAATAAGAATTGAGATTAGGATCTGATCTGATCCTAAAACCCTACTCTACCTGCTGAATTTAAAATCTAAAAGGAAGAAGAGAAAGGATAGAAGTAGGAAGACCACTTAGGAGATTATTACAATAACCTAGACAAATAAACAACTAACTACATAGTTTGTAGGATGTAAAAGGTGCTAAGGAGTGAATAAATAAGAATATGATAAAGTTGGTGGAGAGGATGTCAGCATGGCCCAGGAAGTTCTATCTGATAAGGTGATACTTGAACAGAGAACTGAAGGACACAAAGAAAAAAATCATGCAGGTCCCTGAAGGAAGAGTATTATGGATCCTGAAAGAAAGCAAAATGATTGCAAAGAAAGAAGTAGGGAACAAACAGGCAGAAGAGATAGAAGAAAATGCAGAGCCTTGAAAACCAATTTCAAGACTTAGCTTTTACAGTGGATGAAATGAGAAGCCACTGAAGGTTTTGGAGCAGAGGAATGACATGATCAACTAAAATTTGAATCAGATCACAGTCACTGCAATGTGGGGCATGATCTGCAACTGTAAAGACAAAAAGATTAGTTAGAAGGTGCTTTTATTTTCAAGAGAGAAATAATGGCACAGAATAGACTGACAGCAATGACCTCACGATGATAAACTGTCAAAATCTGATTTTCTAAAAGTAGAGCCAACAAGTCTTGCAAAAATAACAGACATAGATTAAGTATAAAAAAGGAGTAAGAGTGTGTTTTGGCCCTAACAGTTAGAAAGATGGAGTTGCCATTTACTGGGATGGAGTAGACTGCAGAACAAACAAAGTAAGAAAATTTAGGAAGGAAAAGAAAAGGAGATACAGACTACAAATGATTTTAAAAAATTAAATATGTCAGTTTCAGGCTTAAAAAATGCTAAAGATATTTCAAATTATAATAATAAAAACTAGAATGACTAGTTCCAAAAGGTTATCCATCAGAAACAGATTAAATTTTCACCAAACTGTATGAGTCTCAAATTATTAATCATTAGGGCTTCACAAAGGTTCATACTTTTCAAAATGGCAGTCTTCATTATTTGAACCTATGTTAGTCAATGTTTTACATATGTAATTATTTGGTTCTTCTTTCAAGTAAAGTATTTATTGAACTATTTTTGAAATTATAGTTCATGCTTCATCAAAAGACCTACATTCTACATTTTAAATGCACAGGCTTACCTGAAGTTCTTTGTATCTATCTTGAAAAGAAATGGCCTCTTGCTCTTTTTCTTTTAGAAAGCCTTTTTCTAAGACACTATGTTTTTCCATTAATGATTCTACATCCT